TGCTGACACAAAACTAGCAACTAATCTTCCACTACTCCCGATAATATGCAGCTTATTAGATAAGGGTACATGACGTCATAACCAACATTCCTGGAACTAAACTATGCTAAATATATCATTGATATAAATTCTAACAATAATTACAATGACAGCCCAAATTAAGTTGTCAAAACAACTTAGAAAAACAAGCATTCCTCCTTCCTTGACAGTAGGCCTATTATAAGCTTATGTTTTATGACATGCATTTAGGTTTAGCACCTTAGCATAAACCAACTATTTGAAGGATTTAACAAGTTAATTTTAATCATTTAAAACCCCCCATCACTTTCCAGTAATTACCTTTAAGCCCCTGAACTTCAGAAAAATTACAGAAAACACCCGTAGGGGTTTTTTCCCCATGGGAGCCGGCTCCCCTTTATTGGAGCTGGCTCCTAGGCTTCTAGAGCCAGCTCCCCCTCATGGAGAGCCGGCTCTCTCTTCATGGGAGCCGGCTCCCACCATTTAGGAGCCGGCTCTCACCCCTGAGAGCCCCTCTGCCTCGTCTCTACTTCGTCCGATGATTTTTTTTGCGTTTCCGGCGAAGTCCGACGTTCTTGTCCCAAGTATTTTAACATTCCTAGGGTTCAATTTAAATTCTTAAAGTCCTAGAAACTTCTCACCATCCAGCATGCATTAATTGACAAAAATCTAAAACAAAAACAAAACCGTATCAAAAAACGCCAATCACAGTTAACTGAACATATGAACAATCTAAAGTCTGATCACATGTGTTATAATTCCATTTTAAAGGTTAATTAACTTCCTAACCATCCTAACAACACCTCACATTCCATTATGAATTAATTTACAAAGGTTTAATACATAATCTAACAATTTATGCAAGGAAAGCCATCTTCGGTTATTATACGTTAACCAAATTTCAGACTAAACTAATATGCATAAAAATTTGTTTTAACAGTTTTAATTAAATTCCTAGAGTCTATTTAGAATGCACAGAATACAAGTTTACAGGAAGGAGAGAATGAAACTTGCCTTTAGGTTTCGGTTTGAAACCTTTCAACGCCGTTGCTAAATTCTCCGACGAACTGTAGACTACCGGCAACTCTCCTACTGCTCCAGTTCTATCTCAGCATCAACCTCTTCCTTCCTCTATGGTCCACCTTTAGTCCATAGCTGAAAGCCTAATTGATTCTCTCTGTGTCCCTCTGTGTTTTTCCCCTCAAACGTCTCTGTTTCTCTCTTCTATAGTTTTCCTCTGTTTACCTCTCCAGATTATTACGTGAAAAGGGTGTCTCCAAAACCCTTGTAGACAAATATTTTTCTATATATATAGACTCATGCAAAAACCCTAATCCTAATTCCAGCCCAAGTATAAGTCGGCCAACCAAAATACTTAACACCAAAACCCTAAACGTAAATATAACTACAACCATATAACTTAAATCAAATAAGTCACACAACCCATTTAAAAACACGTAATAATAAAAAAAATACCAATTAATCAAATAAATAAAATAAATCCCAATTGCACGTAATTAAGTTAAAATAAATAAACAACATAAAACAAATACACAATACCAATTTTAAACAAGTAAAACAATTAACCACTTAGCCAGATAATCATATTTAAATGCACACAAAACAAATAATCAATTTATCAATTTAAAATGCACATAAATAATTTATTAAGTTTCCATTATATCCTTTTGAAAATTAGGGGTATTACAGTGTGTATTTGATTCCATTTATGTAATGTGTACATAAGTACACTCTATGCAATGTATTTGACTTGTATGTAATAAGGCCAAGGGCCAAAGACACTTATGTGATATGTATGCAAATTTTTAACTTCATTGTTGCCTATGGAAGTTAGGAGATTTCGTACATTGAAGAGTCATATTTGACATACAACATGCCATGAGGCCATAGGCCATTGTAGTACATCTACTTTATCACATTACGTATGCTTGCATGTTTATTTTGGCACACAATACCCTTCTTGATGAAACAAAAACTTAAGGTTGCATTTTTTTTGAGTTCTTACCCTATTCTATTCCCAGGGCATTTTGAGTATTTCACAATGTATTTTTTTTTTATTTTTGCCCATGTTGTCAGATAGAAAACTCGATTTTGGATGGGGTTTCTTCTTTATGGTTTTCCAAAAAACATCATCTTGGCCCTCAAAAACCCATTTTTTTTTTGAAAAATCCTTGCTTCCAGGTTTTGCTGATTTTAATACAAGTGTACTTCATACTATTCATTGGCTTTTTTTTTTAAAAGTGTGACGACCGATCCGAAACTTCTGCGGGTCTTGTGGGTGTATATTAAGATTGCATTTTCAATTTAGGCAATTTAAAAACCTCCCGAAGCCCCATTTCCTTTCCTTGGACTGCAGCTCGGAATGATTTTTACCCTCTTAACCTGATTTTCTTGGGGGCATTCTGGGCATTTTATAATGCATAGTTTTTTTTTGTTTTCCGTCCACATTACCGGGTAAAAAACTTGATTTTATGAGGGGTTTCTTCTTTGATTTTTTCAAAAAAAGTCCGTTTAGATGCCTGTTTTTACTCTCAGTTGCAGCAGCAATGGGTCAGCAACACTGTAACTGTCATGACCCTCTTTTTGTTTTTGACCTTTCTCCCTCGTCTGGACTCCAAATCGAGTAAAATTTTGTTTTGAACTTGACTATTTTTTTGTTGTCTTTCCAACGATATGCTCGGTTGCACCCAGATCTTCCTGGATAATTACCAGTTTACCCTTTGTGCTTTGTATGTCCATTTTTCTTTGTTTCGCCGTTCCTCCTTCGTCCGGACTCCGAATCATGCGATTCTTGAGTTCATCTTGATTAGTTTTTCATTGTCTTTCCAGCGGTGTACTCAGTGGCACACGAATCAATAGTTTTTGAAATGACTATTGTGCCCCTAGGGGCCTTAATTGTTATTTTTTTGTGATTTTTTGCTTCCGCGTCAGGTCTCATTGAGTTCTACAATCTCATGGAAGGTCACTTTGACTTCTTAGAGTCTTATTTTTAGTTTTCACTTTCACATTCGGATCCGTTATCGAGTTAATCTACGGTTCATCACAGGATGCAATGGCTTGAAAAACCAGGGACGTCACAGTAGGGGTCTCCCTAATACATCAAGTGTTGCCTTTTATTTGAGCAATTTCTATTTCTTTTTTATTTTATCTTGAGAACTGTATGTTGATATGAAAATTGTTGTAATTATGAAAGTCTTTAAGTGTTAAAGCATTATTTATATAAACTTTGTGTCAAAAGACTGATTTATTTTGTTGTATGAAGGTTGTGTCAATGTTTAATTGATGGCATGTTATTGTGTATATAATTTTATGTTGAGCATGCTTAAGGAGGCTTCTTGTATATGCCATACTTGAGATAATGATGTCCTTATTGTATTGAATTCTCTAAACATACCATGATCTTATTTGTTTTTCTTTTTTTTTTAGAATATCTTGTACATACTTGTTGGATTAGAAAGGTTTTGTTAATGTTTTTGTTACCAAATTGGTGAGCTTGATGGTTGAGATCACGTAAAACATTACATTGCATGTCATGGCATAAAAAGAGGATTTTGAAAAGGATTTGGGAAAGGAAGTTTTATGAAAGGAAAGTTTTATTTAAAGGGGAAGGTTTTTTTTTTTCAAATGAACCAGATTTCGCGAGTCCGAGGCTAACTTGACCTAGAGGGAGCGCGGCCCGGTGTAGGGCGTAAAAAAGTTTATATTAGGTCCTTTAACGGTTGCCAAATTTGGAACTAGGGATAGCTATCAATCTTGCCTGAGTAAAGTCGGTTAACGGGTTTTGAAAAAGTGTATATTGGGTCGGTGTAGACCAAGTTGGTGAGGGGATGCATCTCATATCATATCATGCACTTGGAATGTAAAATTGTTCTTATGACTATGGATACTGCTTGTTATGTGTTAAATGTTGTTCGAATTCCCATGATATGACCCTAGCTTCATTTCTATCCCCTGATGTGTTATGTGGCTCAAGGGAGTCCAAAATTGATGCATTAGGCGACTTCCACTGAGCTTTATGTTCACCCCATTACTTAAATATTTTTTCAAGAGATGGGAAAGAAGTGGCGGACGACGTTCCATTACAAGCTTAGTTTGGATTAGAGGACCGTTTTGTTAGTTTTTGTAACCAAAGTTTTACGTTGTAATGATGCATTTATGTTTTGTATAATTTTATACTTGGAAACCTTGTAATTATAATGATGAGCATGAAGTAACTCTTGTAAAATGTCTCAGTATATGTTAGGACTCTTAATCATGTTTTTGGGACTGTAATTATTATGGATTTAGATTATTTGGTATGTAGTTGTCGTACCATGAAATGAACTATGTTGGGGTATAATGAATGTATGAATGAAATGTTGAAATGTGTTATATTGCAGTGCTTTGGAACAGGGTAGATAAATTTTAAGGTCCAAGTAAGGCCATTGCATTCTTATATTTTTGCAACAGGTTGTAGTAGGAATTTTTCAGCAGAGGTCATGCCGAATTTTTGGGTCGTTACACATTTGGTATCAGAGCAATGGTTTGAAAACCATTAGAACGACGGGTAGATGCCTACTTAGGGTTGTGTGGAAGGTGGATTGCATTGTTTATGTGCTTACTGTTTTATGAAGCATGCTTACTTTCTACTTGCTTACATGTTTACAGTTTCAAGGCATACCTATTCGCTAAGTGTTTATGTGTTTAAATATCAGTATATATGTAATTAAATGAAGTGTTAATGTGATTTGAAAACATGTTAATTGTGATAAGATGACGAGTATGGGGATTATGGTAACGGTAAGTGGTAGGCATGGTTTGTGCAGTTTTATTTTAAATAATAATGTGGCAAACAATGAGCACGGAAGGTGCATGCATGTCTCGTATGGTATTGTGATGGTTTTTTTGTAACGCCCCGAATTTTTTTTAAATAAAATCCTCAATTTATTCAAATCAAAATACTTCAATTTACACCCAGGATCTCAAAAGAAAATACCATTTTATTAAAGCAGAATCAATGCCAAAAAAATGAATACAACATCTCTCAAAATAAATAAATTAATTCCTCAACTCCTACTCTTCCACCTAATCCCGCAACTAGCAATCCAAGCTTATCCTCAGTACCTGAAACTATGGGGGGGGGGGGGGGGGGGGTGAGACAGTATGAAAAACCATAACAAAGATTTCAAGAAGTTTCATGCAAAATTAATTTCACAAAAATATACATATATATTTAAACAAAAATACGTATATGCAATTTAAACAAAAGAGCAATCATAAAATATTTGAAACAAATCATCCAAGCCATTCAAGGTATGATGATCCTTACACTGAAAATGAATTAATCACTGAATTATCTGAGCATACTCTCGGCCCTCACCTTGTGACTTCTCAAAAACTCTCTAAAAATCTCTAATACTCTAATATTGTCTTTGAATACCTCATTGCACAACAAACACCCAATAAATAGACAATTTGTGCCGACAAAGTGCAAACAGCTCACCAAAAATATCAAACAATTAGTTCTCAAGTGGAACCCACACTTTTATCATTACAATCATTTCTTTCTTACTTTCGGCAACCCACCACATCGCTGCTCCCTTATCTTTAATTCATCTGTATCATCACACATACCGCACACAATCACAATCTTATTCTGTAAACAAGGCCCTAAAGTCAAAGAAAGTTGCAAAACAAATCAATAAGTGGGTCCCGCCACTTCACATCACCATTTCATTACTTTTCCCACAAATTTTCGTCAACCACATTTCTATCAGACATAATAAAAATATATATGTAATATATATATATATATGCATAATATGCAACTAAACCATTTCAACCCCATAATATCTTAAGTGGGTCCCACTAGCACATCACCATTTATTCTTTTCTTTTTCTTTTTTTCTTTCTCTTTTATTTCGGCCAAGCCCATTTGCTTCTTCATCTGATGCCATATATATATATATATATATATATATATAATGCAACCAAAACTTTCCAAAACAAAACCCATTTCTCTTCCTTCAATTTGGCACCTGCCATCCTCTTATCTCCATCCATTATATTTATATTTGTCTTCCTTCCATCACCAATGTATATACAATATACATAAAATAACCAAACTACTCCTTTACTAATCTCAAAATAAAAATTAATAATTTAATCAGATACCCATTTCCATTCCTTCTTCATTTCGCCATCACCAAAAATCCATTAACTTAATAAAAATAAAACTAATTTATTAAAAGCAAATCCAAAAGGCACAAAATACTAATAACCCAAAAATCAATTTTTTTATAAATTGAACATCATAGCTCAACCTCCAATTGAGTAAGTCTCCAATAAAAATTAAAATTCAATCTTCAATTGGAAAGTCTCTAATGATACAAAAATAATAATGAAATAAATATAATTAAAACTCTAAAAAAATTCGGATTGTCACATTCTCCACCACTTAAAAAGAATTTCATCCCGAAATTCAGGCCCAACAATTTTCGCATACCCGAAAACCTCAAAAGTGGCAAAACAAAATCCAAAAATCCTTACTCCAGGCGATGCGAGATACTGTGACATACAAAACGTTGTGGTAGCTGACAGTGCTAGTTACCCGCCCACACACTCTGTAACCATTGTGGTAGCTAGTCGATGCCGTCACCTACCCACAAAATAAGACCAATAATAAAAAAGGCAATACCACATGCTGAATCACAATTATTGACCATCCCAGTAGCTATCAGTGAACGACACCCGCCCACACACACTAGGCTACGAGCGGTAGCAAATCAGAATTAAACACTCGCCCACTCACACCCGTCTAGCTACAACATCACTACACTCACACTTCCGGCTGGGTACAGGCTTTGATACCATTCTGTAACGCCCCGAATTTTTTCTGAATAAAATCCTCGATTTTTTCAAATCAAAATACTTCAATTTACACCCAAGATCTTAAAAGAAAATACCATTTTATTGAAGCAGAATCAATTCCACAAAAATGAATACAACATCTCTCAAAATAAATAAATTAATTCCTCAACTCCTACTCTTCCACCTAATCCCGCAACTAGCAGTCCAAGCTTATCCTCGGTACCTGAAACTGTAGGGGGGTGAGACAGTAGGAAAAACCAAAACAAGGATTTCAAGAAGTTTCACGCAAAATTATTTTCACAAAAATATACATATATATTTAAACAAAAATACGTATATGCAATTTAAACAAAAGAGCAATCATAAAATATTTGAAACAAATCATCCAAGCCATTCAAGGTATGATGATCCCTACACTGAAAATGAATTAATCACTGAATCATCTGAGCATACTCTCGGCCCTCACTTTGTGACTTCTCAAAAACTCTTTAAAAATCTCTAAAGCTCTAATATTGTCTTTGAATACCTCATTACACAACAAACACCCAATAAATAGACAATCTATGCCGACACAGTGCAGACAGCTCACCAAAAATATCAAACAATTAGTTCTCAAGTGGAACCCACACTTTTATCATTACAATCATTTCTTTCTTACTTTCGGCAACCCACCACATTGCTGCTCCCTTGTCTTTAATTCATCTATATCATCACACATACTGCACACAATCACAATCTCATTCTGTAAACAAGGCCCTAAAGTCAAAGAAAGTTGGAAAACAAATCAATAAGTGGGTCCCACCACTTCACATCACCATTTCATTACTTTTCCCACAAATTTTTGTCAACCACATTTCTATCGGACATAATAAAAATATATATGTAATATATATATATATGCATAATATGCAACTAAACCATTTCAACCCCATAATATCTTAAGTGGGTCCCGCTAGCACATCACCATTTATTCTTTTTTTTTTTTTTTTTTTTTGTCTTTTTCTTTTTTTTCTTTCTCTTTTATTTTGGCCAAGCCCATTTGCTTCTTCATCTGATGCCATATATATATATATATATATATATATATATATATATATATATATATATAATGCAGCCAAAACTTTCCAAAATCAAAACCCATTTCTCTTCCTTCAATTTGGCACCTGCCATCCTCTTATCTCCATCCATTATATTTATATTTGTCTTCCTTCCATCACCAATGTATATACAATATACATAAAATAACTAAACTACTCCTTTACTAATCTCAAAATAAAAATCAATAATTTAATCAGATACCCATTTCCATTCCTTCTTCATTTTGTCATCACCAAAAATCCATTAACTTAATAAAAATAAAACTAATTTATTAGAAACAAATCCAAAAGACACAAAATACTAATAACCCAAAAATCAATTTTTTTATAAATTGAACATCATAACTCAACCTCCAATTGAGTAAGTCTCCAATAAAAATCAAAATTCAATCTTCAATTGGAAAGTCTCTAATGATACAAAAATAATAATGAAATAAATATAATTAAAACTCTAAAAAAATTCGGGTTGTCACATTTTTAGTCATGGTTATGTATGTTTTTTTTTAAAAAAAAAATACGAGGTGTTTATTTTTAAAAAAAAATGAAAGGACACGATTGTATCATGGTATGGAGTACGGTTAATATATATATGTATTCATGTGGGTCCATACAGTTGAGTACGAGATGGTTACTAGTACGGTAGAGTACTTGTTGGGGCATGGATGGTTGTGTGAGTTTTAACCTAGGTAGGCGATGAGCTTGGTTGCTCTAAGATTGTTTAGGTGCCGGTTCTTATCGAACGAATGACGTAGTTCTTTAGCTCGTGGATCAAGCTATTCGATGCATGGTTGCTTCACTTTTCTTATTGTCTTTAGGGCGTAGTGCTTAGGGCATAACTTTCGAATGAGTACGTATGGCATAGTCTGGTGTCCAGGGTGAGACGTATGAGTTTCATGTGTTAGCGATTGGGTTCTTGTGACCGTAGAGGTTAGGTGTATGATTGAGGGTTTCGTGGGAGAAAGGTATGACCTTAGGGGGTTTGTGCTTGTGACTTGGGTCACGGTTTGGTGCGAAGATTCTTTTTCGAACCGGTCGTGGTAGGTGTGTGTGATACCCCTCGGATCCGAGACGCGGGTTGATCAGGTCCGAGTCCAAACCCGAGAGATATCAAACAATTAAAGTATTTTAAATCGAACACGAAATACAAAGTGAAATAAGAAATAAAATTAAATAGTTGGAAGAAACTAAATTAATAAACCTTGAAATAAAATTATTCAAATCTGATAATCCAAAACTCCATAAGTTTACAACTTGAGAATTCATCCAGTGGACCCCTTATTAATATTCTCAATTCAAAACTGAAATGACTGAAATAAAGTCTAAAGCTAATATAGAGAAGATTCCTACGTAGTTGGAGGAATGAATATTTGTATATGCTCTGCACGTCCAAGCTCAAACCCTGGAACTGATGAACACCTGAAAAATAAAGGAGTGGGTCAGGCCCACATGCAAGTCCTGATCTACTACAATCCAAACAGTAATCCGATACGCAGATACATCCTAGGAAGACTCAATAATATCTAGAGTAGTCCATATATGTACATAGTACACACTATAGGATGCTCGCTAGTCCAGTAGGTCTGTCTCAGCCTGAATAGAAGGTAACATGCAAATACGCACCCTAAGGTGGGCATGAGTACCTAGACCTACCAGGGAACAACACCTATGTCCAGTTATCCATCCTAGGCGATATACGCACCCTAACCATGGTCCTGAGACTCAGGCTCATACCATGGCACATAAAATAAATATTTAAAGTCCGTACTCCCTATACAAAATATCAGTCATCTATGTAGTGGTCTGATATATGTAAACACTCCATCCTGAAACCGTAGTAAGTCTTTCAATTTACAATTGATATGACACATGTAGGTGATGGACTTAACCTTTATGGTTAATCCATACCTTAATCCAATTTGGGTAGGACTTAATATTTTGAACTAATCCATTCCCAATATAGGTAGGTCTTAGTATTTTGAACTAAGCCATCCCTAATATGACACCGTCCCATACCGGTTCATATATATATATCCATATAAGTAGGACTTAACTTTTTTTTTTTTTATGGTTAATCCAACTCATTCCAAATTAGGTAGGATTAGTGTTTTAACTAATCATACCTAGTATGTCACCGTCCCATACCGGTACATACAATCCTCCAGTTAACACAGTTAACAGAAATAGTAGAATTAACTATCAACGCATTCCAAAACAATCATAAGTATAGTTTAACATGTGTGTCACTAAACCATGTCTCCACTGAAAATTCAGAATCCAAGTTTCAGTCTATTAAATTGATAAAACAGGTTTATGCAATTTTGCTTATCCAAACAGTACCTTGACTAATGCACTTTATGTATAGATTTAAGCATCAGTTTAACCTAACTAAGCATACACATTATTGAATAAAAACATGCTTAAAACACAGTTGTAAAACATAATCCAAAACTTAAGACCATGCAAAAGCATCAAATCTCCTCCAAACAGTGTCCTAACAGAGATATACAACAGATTTAATTATCCGTTAATTCCAACCAAGCATACCTATAATTCAATAACAGAATGCTTAAACCTTAGCTAAACAACATAATTTAAAACTTAGGGTCGTGTACAGGCATCAGGTTTCTAAAACAGTCTGCACTTCAAATCAGTGGTTTAATCTTTCACATACAGCCCTTGTTTAAACTTATGTTAATTCTATCCTTTATTCTAGAATATAAGCTTGCTTCTCCATTATTTTATAAGTCCTAAGTAGTATATCACATCATTCAATAGCCTTTAAATAGTTTCAGAAACTCAGATTTAACCAACCAGACCTTTTAAAACTCAGTATACGTGATATTTAAGAGAAAGAGAAGGCTCTGTGTTTCAAAGAGCCTTCTCCAAATAAGTAGAGCCTTCTCCACTCAAGTAGAGCCTTCTCCAAATAAGTAGAGCCTTCTCCACTTTAAGTATACGTCTGTTCTTCTTCTGTTGTCTTCTCCAACTCCGGTGGTTTCCAGTCATTGAACTTAGTTTTATTTCAGGTTTTAAGATCCCATCCACATCCAAAGTAATCATAAGACAAAGTTATATAAACAAGAATTTAATTAAACATCAGTTTGTAATGCAACGACAATCAGTTTGCAATCTACCGCTTTCCTTAGATTTATTTTGCTCCATTCTTATGCTTAATCATGGATTAATGTTTCCCATAATATATTAAGCCTATTATAGTCCTAATACATCAATTATACAATTTATACGAAGTGGTAATCATCTGAACAGTCCATACAGTGCCCAAAGTCCAATTTGTGTGCATTTGGGTGAGAGCAGGCTCCATAAAATTTGAGCCTACTCTTTTAAATGTTGGAGCCGGCTCCCTAACTTAGGGAGCCTGCTCTTTTCAGCATGGAGCCGGCTCCATGCTCCTTGGAGCCGGCTCTTTGTGTGAGGGAGTTGGCTCTCTCATTTTGAGAGCCTGCTCTCTCTCTTTCCGGCGCGTTCTGCGTTTTTCCACTTCATCTTCCTCGTATCCGGCGATACCCAAGCCTCTGTAAATAATTTAATACATGATCTAGGGTTCCATTAAATGTTCTAGATTAACCCTAAATCCATGGTATACAACCACGACATGAATTGAACACACCGTTTGAAAACTACGACAACAGAATTTTCAGTTAGAAAATTTAACCAATTTCAAAACAGATTAATTCTGTAAACTCTAACCCTGTTTTAATACTGGTTCTAGGATTAAATTTTAGACCTAGACAAAATCCTAAACCATGGTTATACATCCACAACATGGATTTAACAGAATCTTTTAAACATAACGGCAGCAGAAATTCGACTAGTAACTTTAAGCAAACTCAAACCCAATTATTACAATGAAATTAAATACTATATGCTCATGCATAAAAGACATGTTACAACATCTATTTAATCCATTTTAAACCTTATTAAATCCCTGGAGACTACCTAGGCATGCACAGAACACAAATTACAGAGGAAAGAGAAGAACAGAACTTGCCTGCAGTTTCAGATTTTGAAACTGTAAACCAACGTCTCTGGATTTCCCGTCAACGTCCTAGGCTGCCGTTCACCACCTCCGGTGCTCTTGGTTCAACCCAAAAGCACTCCACTCCTTCCTCCTTGAGCCTCTCTGTATATTAGTCAGACTCACTCTCTGTTTCTTTGTCTCTCATAATTCTTTTTTTACGTGAATAGGGTTAACAAAACCCTTGGCAACTCATACTTATGTATTTATAGGTTTTAATTGAAACCCTAATTTAAATCCTAAACCAAACCCTAAAGTAAAGCCTAAACCAATTATATGTCGGCTCTAATCCTAGACACGATGTAAAACATGAAACCCTAATTACCAAAACAGTGAATTCACATAAGCACGTAATTAATTAAACTTGAGAAA